AGGAGTTGACTAGCCCTTAACTTAGAAAAGAAAACAATCACAGGCATTGGTGATGACAATCCTCAAATTCATGCAGGTAGGTAGATGCTTTGTTGGGCCAACATGAAATAACCTTCTTGCCAAGTTGGAATATTCTACTGCTTAATTGGTGTCTGGCCCACAGTAACTCCCGATTCATTCATTCATTCACTCATCCACTCACTCATTCTTGTATTCTCATTCAGCATCTGCTTCTAGCCAGCTCTCTACCATATGGTTGGTTGGTAGGTACTTGTTGAATCCATGAATGTGCTCTGGGGCATTTTTCTGGTGTGAGGTCATGAGGCAACATTCTGCCGAGGCATCTCCCTCTTTAGCTGGCCTGTGACACAAAATGTCCTTGCGAGGCTGAGGGCAGTTCTGTCTTATGGACAGTGACATTTCTTATTCTCATTGTAAACAACTATCTGTATCTGGTTTTCCATCTCAGTCCCCGTAGCCTATGCCAGTGTGACCTGAAGTCCTGAAACATGCCACACAGCACCCAGAGTTTCTGAGCATAACAGATGTAACTTTAACTCTGCACTGTTAACATTCATGCATGGTTCTCTTCTTGAGTATAGTGCCTTGGGTATAGTACACTTCATCTTTTCTTTTGTCTGAATTGTGCTAACTTGACAGGGCTGGCTACTGGATTGGAGCTCTGAGCTTAGTCTTGATTGCCCCATGTAAGGTCTCTTTTTGTGCAGGACAGGACTAATGGGTCTCCACACAGATTCTCAGACACCTGTGTGGGAACAGGGAGATCCCGGATGCTCCGTGTCATATTTGAGGACAGCTAAGACAATTTTAATTAAGAGGCATTTTCAGATATGACTGTATCATAGAAAAATTGTTTCTTTGAAAAGCATAACTTAGAAGGAAGAAGGAAGGGATTGCGCTATAGATTCGTTTTATTAAAGACTAAACCTGATATCTTGAGGGGTGTATTTTATAAAGCCTGTGCAAGAGGCAGCATGCTCTACATGGGAAGGAGCATAAGCTCTGAGCCTCTTCTCAGGGGGAGAAGCACGTCATCATGCATTACTAGCACCCAGTCCACACACGGCAGCACACAGCTACACGTTAGCTCTGTTTCCGACCCCTGCTTCTCCCCTCATGGGTCTCAATTCTGATACTCATGAAATGAGATGAGTAATCATAAAGTAGTCAGAGGATAGAAATACATTACATTGGTTATAGCACAGAGCCTAGTACAAAATAGGCACTTAATATTTATTGAATGAATAGACAAATAAAAATGCTGAGTTTCAGAAAGAAAAGTATTCTATCAACCCAAATTACTAACATGGAAAGAAAATATATTTATCACTTTTCATTAGATGAGAAGGAAACACACTTAAAATCAACAGTTTTTGACACTATAATATATTCATATTAGAAAACTTATTTAATCACATGCAACCTAGATTATTGAATAAAATAAAACCTACAACTGCCCTGCTATTATTGTCTGAATTACTCATTTCTATCCCAGATTTTTCTGTGATTACTCCCTATTATCTCTGTTTCCAGTTTCTTTCCGGGATAATTCCACACCAATTAATCCACTTAAAGCACTGTTTTCACCCCTTGTCTCCCTGCCTTTCATCAAATAACACGCCTTATTCAAAGCCTCTTAACAAGTCCTCACTTTACCTCAGTCCTTTGTTCTTAGCCCCTCTAGCTCAGGGTTTTTATCTGGGTGTGCAGATTTTTCAGTCTGGGTTTTATTAATTCTGTGAGTGCCTAAACAGCTATGTAAAATTGTGTGTACATGTGAATTTTTCCAGCGAGAAGATGCATTTCAATGAATGATTAAGGAAACTCAAGAAGCCACAGAGGCGAAGACCTTTCTGAGCGGGCGGTGTGCCTCCCAAACCTCAGTAGTCCTCCCATTTAGTGAGTCCTCTGATAAGGAAACTCATCCTTCAAAGCCCGCTGAAGTCTTGCCCTGTCTCCTTCCTCCCACCCCCCAACAGGTCCTCCATCCCTTTTTCAGCTCCCAGATATCCCAGCCAAGTACTGGGGCATTGCCACCTGACTATGACATGCCCTTCAGATTTCATGATGCACAGCTGCTCCTCCTGAAGGAGTTTCAGGGAGGTTCCTCGGGCAGGATCCTCCGATATTTGTGTGTCCAACCCACAGATGAGCGTAGACGTGAGGAATAGGGACTTGATGCTGGGAGGGCCCTGCCCATTACAGACTTATTGAGTTTCTTCCACAACAACCTGGCACCATCTTTTCTGAGTTATTTAAAGCAACAGTCTTGAAGACAGTTTGAAAATAAAAGTAAACAATAATAAAAAGAACACTTCTGCAGGGCTCCCGCGCTTGCACACCATGTGGCTGGCAGGTGTTCTCCCGAATCATTTTGGAGTGGTTCTAAATGCGTTCTAAATGTGTTCCTTCAGCTCAAGGCCCACACGGACTCTGTGGGGGTATCCAGGTACCTTTTCATTGTGAAATATGGTAAGTTCTCAGCAATCCTACCCAGCTGCGAACTCATCCGCCCCTCATAGTGAACAGTGCTTTTGAAATCCTAAGTCTGCCCTGGCTCTGAGTGCGGTCATGGAGTAACACACGTGCTTCCTCTCCTTTGATCCCTGGTGTGCCTAATCATAAATCCTGAATGCTACAGTTGTATTAATGGCTGGTCAGGCAGATGTGATGAAGTGTAGACTGGGTCATCAAAGTGTTAGCTACCAGACGGAAAACAATTAAATGGAGGGAAAATAGGAAGAACATACTAAAAAAAGCCAAAGATCTGGCTTGAACGTGGTCTCTTCAATTTGCAGGAACATTACTATTATCATCAAAGGTCAAAGTCAGTTACTGGTAGAAAAATCAATAAAGGTGAAGGAGGGGGAGAGACTAAATAGATAAATTCATGACATGCCCTCTATATTGAAGGAACTTGTTGAAAATATATATATTTCCAACTCTTGGGAATGAAAGTGGTTGTCAGTTCCATGGGTTCCTGCTGTGAATAGGTTTTAAAGAATTATATCAGTGCAAAACACAGGGGAAAAAAGGGAGCAGAGATTGAAACATTGCATTTATCTGTAGACTTTATCATCCATTTTGTTGGACTCTTAGGTGTTTGTGTTTTTATTTGAATGAAGGTGATCCATGTGCACGTTCTACCTCTCCATGCCAATTACTGCAGATGATCAGAAATCTTTATTACTGGCAATTTGTGACCACAGTTATGCTTGTAGCATACCATACAAGTATACCTTGTCTTAATGTCCTTTGCTTTATTGTATTTTGCAGATGGTATGTTTTTTACAAATTGAAAGTTTGGGGCAGCCCTGCATCAAGCAAATCTATTTGCCCTATTTTTCTTTTCTTTTTCTTTTTTTTTTTTTTGGCCCTATTTTTTCCCACAGCATTTGCTCACTTCATGTCTGTGCCACATTTTGGGAATTCTCTCAGAATTTTAAAAGTTTTAATTATTATATTTTTATGGTGATCTATGATCAGTGATCTTTGATGTTAATATTGTAATTTGGGGATCCATCATCATCATCATCATCATCATCATCATCGGAACTTGAAGATGTGACGGAATTGCTACAATATCAAAACCACAAAGAGTGGTTTTCTGTATTGAATCTACCAGTGAACATGCCATGAAAACTGTTATTACAACATCAGTGGATTCAGAATATTACATGCATTTAGTTGATAAACCACAGAAGACTTTGAAGGGATGGACAGCATAGTGGACAGCACAGATAGACAATTTCCACCACTGCAGGAAGTCTCCTGGACAGTGTTGCAAGAAGTGTTGGGATTCGGCTCTCTGGCTACAATGGCCTTTTCTCCTATTCTGTGACTCTTTAACTGAACCTGGCCTCCTTCCCTCTTCTCGCAGTCCATTGGACATCTATGACTCCCTGCCACCAAGCCTAGACCTTCCAACCATGATTTTGTTTTTGGCATCTTTGACTTCCATGCACCTTGACGTTATGTGTACAGCCTCCTGCTAACCCCTAATCATTGGCAGGTCACATCCTTTTGATTTTCCTGCTCTTGTTTATTGGATATAATGAATTACTGGAAACAATGATAAAATAATAAAATGGAGAGAACGTATGCTCTTTAACCCTAACTGGATCCTCTCTGCTTCTTAGCACCTGAATTCATCTTTCATTGACTCACTAATTCATCCTTTATGATATCTTGTTCCTGAAAACCTCAGAATTCTCATGATCCTCATTCTCCACAGATGACTTGCCTCATAATTGGTGGGGAAGATGATAAAAAACCAGGCCATGAACTTCCTCAACATGTCCCTAGAGCCTTATTTCAGTTTTCCTTTAGTCAAAGTGACCCATCATCTGCTTTCCACTCAGGAGCACAAATTTCTTGAATTCAGATCTTTGCTCATGATATTTCTGCCATTTAGAAGTTCTCCCAATCTCACCTCTGCCACGAAACTGTTTTCAGATCATTACATCTGATCTAAAATATATTTTCTTCTCCAAGTTCCCCTAACATTTTCTCTGTACCTCTCACACAAGTTTTCAATTGATTTTGTATGTACTAATATATAGATCATTTCACATCTTCCCCACTGAACTGCAAATGGTGTGAGAAAGAGAGCTTGCTAGAGTCAGCTTGCATCTCTGGTGGCAACTGGCACCGGTCCTTGCACAGAGGATGTTCAGTACATATACATTTAATGAATATATATGTTTGTAGATGTCAGATTAATTCCTAAGGTATAGAGATTTAATTCAATAATGAACAGATGAATACAATTATTCTAATGATCTCAACATTAAGTTCTAACTAAACCATTACACACCAGAACTTCTGCTGATAAAACAGGGTGTATGTGTTGGTGACTAGAACTGCAATAAATGATGCTATAGCAGTGTGAAAATATCCAAAGGAGGGTGAAGTAGGCACACAATGATAGAGAATGGGCAAATAACTAAAGAAAGACATTAAAGCTGAAATAAACTTACCTTGGGTAGCAATATAATGATTGGGTCGATGATAGCCCTAAAAATAAATGAGAAAGAATATTTCACAAACCTAAAATTGGAAAGCAGCACAGAGGTCACATGCTAAGTTTGCCAAAATGAACGCATCAACAAATACCAACAGTTGCATCACTTGAAAGGTAATTATCAGATTAAGTGCCATTGAGTTTCTCTTAATAAGCAAAGATGTATCAAATATTACAGTCTGATGCTTGCAGAGGGGGTGTGAGTAACTGAACTGTACACTGGCTGTGAGATGATAGACGAGCAATAAACACCAACAACGTATGGATTCTCTGAAATAACATGACCATGACCCTTAGGAGAGTGCAAACAGTCTGAGAATGTACAATAGAATTTCATTTATGGTTGGGCGTTATTGGAAACGTGCCAAGGCTTTAACACATATTCTGTTATATTGGTATAGGCAGTTATATCAATAGAAATAGTAAACATCATTTTTAAACACTGCTAATACCATGACGTGATGTTGTAGCAAAGACCAGGAATTTAAAGAGGCAGCAATTAGACAAGACCCCCTTCCTTTCACTGTGACCCTATAGGAAGGGGAAAGATGAAAACTGAGACCGCATAAAGAAGGGGGCAAAGAACACCACAGGATCAATATCTGGGAAAGATAAAGTCAACTTAGAGAAAATTACACACAGGAAACATAATGTCACCACTTAATACTTTCCATCTCTGCCCCCTGAGATGACCTAAAATACCACACCCAAAGCCACGTGGAAAACAGAGTCAAGAGACTTAAAGAGGAAATAGGGATTTTTTTTTAGTCAACTTAAATGCATATCTGTTATATTGTTTTGCTCTTAAAAACAGGTTGAACAACGAAATAACTAACAACAAAAGCAAACACATTCTTTTGTACAACTGACCCACAATGGGTTTCAAACATAGAATCATGGCACAGTTTAAATACGATTGATGATCCCTCACTTCTTGCCAGCCGATAAGCTCCACCTGGCAAGATCCTGGTCTCACTCATTTGCTATATATCTCAGTGCTAGCAAGGTGCTAGGAGGTAGGAGGAACTTATTTGTTAAACTGAAATAATCCACACAGACCATTAATGACCTATATGGCTAAACACAATGTCCATTTCCCAACCCTCATCTAATTGATCTATCAGCAGCATGAAAGCAATTAAGCCCCTTGAAATACTTTCTTCATTGGCTTCCAGGATATAACTCTCCTGGTCTTCCTACCTCCCTGCCTTATTCATTTATTTGTTGGTTCCTCCCCTTCACCTTGATGTGAGGTAGGAAGACCAGGAGAGTGCTATATCATAGAAGCCAATGAAGAAAGTATTTCAAGGAGATTAACTGCATTCATGATGCTGATAGATCAATTAGATGAGGACTGAAAAATGGCCATTGCTTCAGAGAGAATCACTGATCAGCTGCCTCTTGCATGCTGCTCACCTGGGACCAAGCCCCCAACTGGGCTTGTGCCCTGACCAGGAATCAAACCATGACCTCTTGGTTCATAGGCCGATGCTCAATCACTGGGCCACATGGGATAAAAAAATTCTTATAGTTATTTTTAGGTAACTCCTGGAAATTGTAACGCTAGGACTTTTAATAGCATCTGAGTAATACTTAAGCAAGAAAATAAAAGAATACATACATAAAACCTGTCCATGGAAGTATTGGTGGACTAGGAAATAGTGTGACAGCCAAACAGAGAATGGCTTAGGAACTGTAAGAGGGCTGAAATCTGCTTCATGTAAACTTGGGCTGTAGAGGTAACAGCAACTTTTACCTTGATTTTCAGTCTACTTTTGATTTCATTCATTCTTTCAACTGGAAATATGCTGTCGCCTAAAGAATTTATTCTAATGTAAGACATTAAGTTAACACGATGCAGAAATGAACAAAGAAGCAGTCTTCAATAATTAAACAGCTTGCATATTTAAGGGCATGTCTTGCGTGCATCAGAAGTCCTGGTTAACAGCTGCAGACTACTTTGAAGGCAACTTAAAAGTGCAGTGATGACAAGAGATGGCAAATCATTGAATTAGGAATTAGAGAGCTTTGTCCTCTTAATATGAACACAGATTTTTTTTTTTTTAACAATCAAAGTTGTTGACAAAAAATGGAAATAACATTTTCTGAGTCCCCATTGACATGGGATGGCAAAAAGGCAATGAAGGTTACAGAGAAGTTACCAGCAAAGAGGTTGATTTGAGAAAAGGAGTGGCCAAACCCTCACTGTAAAGCTCTGTGTGTAGGGGGCCATGTTGATGTGAGTGCTTCAGGAACGGGACCAACATATGTCCACCAGTCCTGTGGCATGCACACCATGTGGTCTGTGTCAAAACAGGCAGGCTTATTGAGAGTTTCAAGGTACATACATCGATATAATTCCCATTGATGTAGTCTGAGTTGTTGTCTCCTTCTAAGGTCTGCAGCCTCACCCTGGAATGATCATCTGAAAAGGAAAAGGAAAACCATTAACAAAAGCCATCTGTTGAGATGCTCAGAACCCCGGATTAAAAGGGCATTACATGGAGACCATCAATATCCATACTGCTTTATTTCCTATTTTGCTATTAAGACTGGTAAGAACTTACAATTCTTTGCATTTCACAGTAGATCTCATTAACTGATTCTTTGATCACTTAAGGACGTTATATAGAGTTGGGGGAAGTTTGAAACGTCCGCATAAGAGTCCTCTGAATCACAACAGGATTTTTTTTTTTCTTGGATTGAAAGTTTAGTAACTTCACTAAATCACATATAAGCCCTGAGATTTTGAAGGTTGCCTATGACATCCACCTTGACAAATGATGGTTATAAACCACAGCCAAGCCTTCTGGGAGGTGAGGACGTGGTTTTAACTTCAGTCATCGTCCATGATTTCTCTAAGCCCTCCTTTCTGCACCGGAGGGCAGATAGGCAGGTAGAGCCAGGCTCTCCCCATCAGTCATGGGACTGCATGAGACTCAATTATGCCAGCAAGCCTGAGCAATGCATCTGGAGAAGGGAATGACAGCACATGCCTCAAACTGGGCCACTTTAAGGATTAAATGAAAACACACCATGCCACGCTTGATGTCTGGCACACAAGCACTGGATAGCTGTGTTTATGGTGTTAGTCAACCTTATTTATTTATTTATTTATTTATTTATTTATTTAATTTTTAAAATAAATCTTTGTTGTTCAGATTATTACAATTGTTTCTCCTCCCCCCACTAATGATCTATATTTAAATTATTTTCTGAATGAAAAATTTTCTCCACAAATACCATTGAGAAACATCAATTATTTCCCTGAAAATCTATAATTTAAAAAGAAAAGTTCAAAAAACTCTCTAAGGCCAGATGTTTTCCTTTTTTGCTCACTGTTCTATTCCTGACCTCGAGATTAAGGCCTGGCACATACCTGGTTTCCCCCCAATTTGTGTTTTTTTAAAATGAATAAAAGTGAAACTTCTAATGTGTGAAAAATAGGTGATGTAAAAATTATTTTCCTAAATGAATTCTGTTTTTAGCAGAGAAACATTTCCTTCCAAATAGATGACAGTAACCCAGGGATGGATGCAAATGCAGTCAGAATGTTTCTCATGGTGACCTGCTTTACTGTATTTTGCTTGAAACTCGAGACTCCCTGTCCATAGACTGGGAGTGTTGCGGGGGAGGTGAGCCAGTGAGGCACAGGGTATGTGTGGACTGTTATGGCTTTTGTATTTGTTAGGAGAGCCGGTGCCCACGCACAGCTATTCCAGGGTGGAGCTATAAGCATTCCTCAGGTAAAGCCACTTGAGCCTCCCGGATGAAGGATGCTACAATAGAACTGAATCATGGCCGTTCTACACACATCGGGCTTTTAGTCAGCTCCTCTGGAGGGAGATTAGGTTTGCCTCCCTGTAGTCCTCGACTTTCCCTGGGCAGTTTTTTAAAAGGCAAGCCCTGCATTTACAGCCACCCAATCTTTAGAAGCAGGGCTGTCTTAGGATCTATTGCACCTCCTTGTCAGAATCCCCATCCACAGTTTATTTCTCTTAGACCATCGGGATAAATGCTGCCCATTCCCCGTGATTTACCACCCTTGGGCTTCTCAAATTGTTCACAATGTTCTCATTAAGGACTTCAATCTCTGACAAGACTGCGCTCTCATCTCCCATAAGCAGCACCTTTGAAAGAGTTTTCCCATCATCCCTACTATTCTGTCAGTTAACTCCTCAATTAAAAAAAAAAAATTGGCTGCCACTTCTCCAAATTTAATTGCTCTATTCCTCTGATGATGGAGCAAGATACGTGTACAGAGTATTTCTCGAGCAGACTGAGATTGTTTTTATTTCTCTTTATATGCCTAGTAGTATCTTCTCTTTATTGTAAAGTTGATTCTACTAGATTATAACCTCTTATGGTCAGAGACCACATAGTGTCCATTCTAAATATCCCCAAGAGGCTTGGCTGGCATGGCTCAGTGGTTGAACATTGACCTATGAACCAGGAGGTCACAGTTCAATTCCTGGCCAGGGCACATGCTCTGGCTGCAGGCTCAATCTCCAGTGTGGGTTGTGTAGAGGGAAGCTGATCAATGATTCTCTCTCATCACTAATATTTCTATTTCTCTCCATCTCCCTTCCTCTCTGAAATAAAAAATATATATATATTAAAAAATATTCCCAAGAGCACCTTTGCCAAGGCCACAAAGCCTAATCTCAGCCTGGGCTGCACTGCCACATGCAGCGGTCCTGGCCAACACACAGCTGGTGAGCATAAAGCATTGAACTCTGCCCCAATAAGGAACATGGTGTCATGATGGTCACAGATCCACCCTTAGAGCAGCTAAGTTGTGATCAGGAGAGTTTCACTGGGGCTCCCAGGGAGTTGGCAAGGATCTTGCTCTGATTTTATGTGTTTGCTTTACAACAATCTATTAAACTCTCTATGGATGCTTTATACCATTTCCTGTACCTATATTTCATTATCTTACCTAAGGAAAAGGTAATATGCAAAATAACCATCACTCCATCACAAAGATGGCAGTGCCCATAGCCACAAGATGGTGGCGCCTAGTCCCCTCTGAGAGCGGGCAGTGTGAGCCGGCTGGTAGAATGCTTGCTTCATCGCTGTGGCGACGAGGCAAGGGTCCCACCCTAGCATGGAGGGCCTCTGGGCAGCGGGTGCAGAGCGGCCAGGCCCTGCAGAGAGCAGAGAACCACAGGGAGTGGGCTTAAGCCATCATGGCTCCTGGATTGTAGAGGGCTCCCCTGAGGGCTCCAAGATTGGAGAAGGTGCAGGTCGGGCTGAAGGACCCCCCCTACCCCATGTATGAGTTTCGTTCACCAGGCCTCTAGTTTAAAAATAAGTGTCCACATGGAGGGCATTATGCTAAGTGAAGTCAGCCAGACCCAAAAGGATGAGTACTGTATCACCCCTTATATGAGATTTTAGAGTGTTCAGAATCACAGAGACAGAGAGTAGAATGGTGGATGGCAGGGCTAGGAGGAGGGATAATGAGTTGTTGTTTAAGAGTTGCAGTTTGGCCAAGACCGGTTTGGCTCAATGGATAGAGCGTCGGCTTGGGGACTGAAAGGTCCCGGGTTCGATTCCGGTCAAGGGCATGTACCTTGGTTGCGGGCATATCCCCAGTAGGGGGTGTGCAAGAGGCAGCTGATCGATGTCTATCTCTCATCGATGTTTCTAACTCTCTCTCTCCCTTCCTCTCTGTACAAAATCAATAAAATATATATATATTAAAAAAAAAAGAGTTGCAGTTTGGGAAGATGAAAAGTTCTGGAGAAGGATGGTGGTGGCAACTGCACAACAATGCTAATGAACTTGATTAATACATTAATGAACTGAATCATTGATCAGTACATTAATGAACTAAAATGGACACCTAACAATACTTAGGATGGTAAGGTTTATTTTACATGCATTTTACCACAAGAAATTGAGAGTCCACTCTCTCCGTCCCTCCCTTGTAGAATACCTCTTCATGTTCTCCTCGAACCCCAGATATCCTAGGAAACAGATCTTTCAAAGGAGGGAAGGGAACCTCATGGACTTGCAGCCTGAGAGGCCTCAGGAGTCCCTCTGTTGGGCAGCCTCTCCTCATACGGCTAGTCCCCTTTCCCTGATGACATAGAGGGGGAGGTAGCAGTGACTCTAGCTTGCTACTAGGGGACAGATGTCCTATGTTATTCATGTGTACTTAGTAGATATGAGGTTTATGGAGCATTTTTTCTTTCAGTGATAAAAATGTGTGGTTCATAGTAAGAATTAAGTAAAAGTTAGCTTGTATCATTACTGCCAATGACTTCATTCAAGACCTGATAATTTTTCACCTGGACTATTTCATTCTTGCCTCTAGCTCTTCCCTCTCCAGTGAATCCATGCTGAGTTCATCTTTTCTAAACCAGAATTTATTCTCTCCCCACCTAGTTTAAACCATTCAATATCAACAGGGAACTAATGACCAGTAATGACAAGGTCTTATAGAACAATGGACAGTGATGAAATCATAAAAAGGCTTACTCTGCCTTTACCTGGAAAGACCCCTGTGGCCTATTGTAGATTGGAGTAGAGCAGGTTACACAGCAGCATGTCTCAGGGAGTCTACTAATTTGTACATGTGTGTAGGGATGATGTTGGGATGACTGAAAGGATAGATTTTCTGCTGGGTGGGAAAATTTGGGGTGATATTTACTTCCATCTTTGTGATTTTATGTACTACTTCAATTTTCTACACAGTTTTTTACTAATTTTATAATCATAAAGAAAACAACAGCCCTATCTTTATTTAATAAAAATAAAGCAATCAACTTCAAGTCATAGAACAAAAAGAGATTTGAAGGAAACAGAAAGTTAGCAAGGTTTGAATTTTATTGGTGAGGTTCTGGGTAATTTTCCCCAAGTTTTCATTACTGCACAATTTTTTCTTTAATGTGTATGAATGGCATTTATAATTGAGGAAGAAAAAGAACCTATTTAGCCAGGGATGACTGGAATATGATCAAAAGTCAACTAAAATTTATGTTATAATTATAACTCAATGCTATTCATCAAGAAAGGTAACAAATCTGACCTTTTGAGATACAATCTGCTTAAAGGCCTTATTGCCATTCCTCTTTTCTATTTTTAAAAAGCCTTTATTATATGAAATAGGGCAAACATTATATTTTTGGGGTAAGAAACAGGCACATAAAGACCTTTTAAAAAGCATAACAAACCGCAGCCTCATAGATCTGTGGGTCTCTCTTCCCAAAACAAATACAAGTTATGAAATTCCTCAAGCTCAGAGATGGCCTGCGTTGTGGGGCATCCCAGGCACTTGTTTTGTGAAGTGGCCCCTCCACATTGCGGGAGGTGAGGAATGCCATGGAGAGTTCCTTCAGGAAAACGCCTTTCTCCAGCCATTCTCATGGGCCGTGCAGGAAGGTATGATTTCAGGAGGTCAAGTGCTCCCTGCAGCCC